TTTTAGAGATTTATTTTTAAATAATGTTACATTTAATTTTAAAAATTTTCCGATTAAGATATAAGCTACTAGTGTGGACCCGGTCACTAACTCCTCTCATGCATCTTGGATCCCAAACACACAAGGAACAATAAAATAAAAGAGCTTGAATAGACAACTACCTAACATTTTGTTATGCAGACACCCCCACATGAGACAGATTCCATGATTGCCATCTGTGGTAGGAAGACTTCGGATGGGGTGACATAATAAAGGTAATGTGTCATCTCCTTGTGGCCTGTAGCACTTGCTACAGTTACTGGGATAAAGCCAGTATCACTTTCAATTGTAAGTAATTTGCTGTTCTTTTGGACTATGCATTTTGCCGTGTTTGTTCTTTCCGTCGATGCAACTAAGGTAAGAGCCGTGTAACCACCATTGCTACTCGCAGTCTTTTTTTCCAGATCTGTTTCCGACATCATCGTTGTCAAATCCTCGGCAATCTTATATTTCCCGACCCGTATTGCAACATGAAGAGCAGTGTAGCCTTCGGTCGGTAATATTATTGTATCTAGTGGATGCTTGTCAAAAACAAAAAACTGCTTAACAGCATTCCAATCTCCGTTGCAAATGCTCTTTCTCAATTCCACAAGGTGAGAGTCTTCAGTCATCTCATATTCTTTCTCTGTGAATAATTAAGATACTAAATAAAATTATAATAAATTAATTGTATTGAGATTATGTTCAAATCAATAAAAATTGCTTTTATCTGACCCCTCACAATTAGTCATTTCGGTTATCTCATCTTTTTTTCCTTGTCAATAATTAAGATATTATAACTAAATTATACTTCAATCAAGATATAATTAATTTAGTTGAGGATCTCTTTGAATCTTTGAATCAATCTTACCATCCGATCCCCCCACGCCAGTTTCTTGTTTCGATTTAGAATGCCACTCTTGATGCATTTTGACTAATTTATTCCAAACAACTTTTGCCGAGCTGATTTCTTTATTTGGGCAAAAATTTCTTCCGACGATCTAGTATGAATTACATGTAGAGCTGCACCATTCTATCTTTTTCCTCCAATTTCCTACATCGTCCAGAGAAGAAACCAAATCAAATATTATTCCCAGATTCAAGGATGCCCCAAAGATCTTAAGCTAATAGATAGTTTTCAATGTAAATTCTCCAATCCATCATAATTATCTTGTTTAAGAAGAAAAATAACAATTGCGGTAGTACTTGAATCACTACGTATTGTCATTACAAAATTGTCAAAGCATAAAAAGTATATATAATATTAAGTATAACAGAAAAGCATATATAATTATAATTTTATATCTTACCCCTTGCAGTAGTTATATATAAACAAAGACTTGATCAGGCAAGCAATCTTCTCTAGAATGGTACACACTACAGTAAGGTAGAAAGCATGAACACCAAATGTAAATTGTCGGGCTGGCATAAAGCCACAGCAAATAATCAAAGAATTAACTTTCTTATAATATACTTACCATATGGAAGAGATAACTAGGCTTGAATTCTTGCTGTATAGATAGAGATTGCAGGTGTTCCTTAGTTCTAAATATGAAATGAAAAAGAGAAACATGTAATATAATTATAAATGGAGAAGTAAAAAAGAAAAAATTATCAAAAGAAACCAAACCAAGGGAATACAAATTTGGGACACAGGATTACAACCAAATTCAATGATGAAGCCCTTGAGAGTGAGAGACAGTATAGAGCGAAGGTTTAGGCTGCGCTTGCCATGCATGGTGTGGCTGAGTTTTGATGAAATATTTAAACCACAAAAAAGTAAAGAAAGAATAGAATAGCCACAGAATATATTTCTTTCTTTTGATTGTAAACACTCAAAGAATTAATCCATTACAAAGTAATTAAGAGAGAATAGATTCAGTAAAACATAAAGAGTTTCTTAGGATAAGTTAAGCAATTCGATAATATTATAATTAAGATCAATAAGCCAATTATGATCTATCATTCCATCAACCTATTTTTATGCTTACTAGTTACTATACTAACTAGGCCTCAATCCGCGCTTTGCTTGGTTTGTTTTTATTTTTTTAATTATAAATATTTTTTAATAATAATTAACTATAACTATAAATATATCTTAGTTTTTTTTCCTTTTTGATAATTAGTCATTTTAAATGTATTTATTCATAAAAAAATTATTTTAACATTAGATGTAGAAAAAAATTTAAATGTACAAATTTAATCAATTTAATTTTAAAAAATAAAGAAAAATTTTCATAATTCGTTACTATATTAATAGATTATAAAAATTTATCAAAAATATATGTCTATTCTTTCTTTTTATATTAGTAAATTGTTTGATATTATTCATTCTCTCGTTTAGCATCTCCTCCTTAATTACCTCCTATCATTATTTATTCACATGCTATATTCTTTTCAATTTCTTACATAAAGATCGCATCTCTTTATATTTCTTTCAATGCAGCCCATTTCAATTCTCTAGTTTATTTTATCATCATACACTTATGTTGTTATTATATATTTTAATTTTGGTTTAACTTAATACACGATGCTCTCTTGATTTCTCTTTCTTAGACTAATATTTTTTCATATTATTTTACATTTTCGTTACTTTTTGCATCCATTCACATTTACACTCTTGTATTATCTTCATGTTTATGTTTATTTGTAAATCTTTATCTATATTAGTAATTTTATTTTTATTTTTCTTTATCCACTATAGCAACTTGGCCATACACCTATGTTATTTTTAACTACATCAATAATTCTATAGGTATAGGTATATGTGCCTACAATTTATTAATTTGTATATATATGGTCTAAATATATTTACATATTTGTATAAATTGTAGGAAAAACATGTCTTTATCTAGAAAAATTGCTTAGCATAGCTATGAAAGATCCTACAATTAAGATCAATTATAAATATAGCAATAACCTGAACCTATAAAATTTCGAAGATAGGTATGGATCATTAAAAAAATCTCAACTTCACAAAAGTACTAAAAGCGAGAGACTCGGAGCAAAGCGCAGTGTGTGGGTCTCGGAGATTTAAAGTTAAAGAACAGAAAAGTAAAGAAGGAATAGTACTTGCAATAAAGTAACACCCAAGGAATGTTCTTTTGATGGTAGAACACTAAAAGAATCCATTTACTTGAAAAGTATAAAATAAAAAAAAATATTAAAAAAAAAAAAAAAAAAAACAACTCGGAGAATGAATTCTTTGAGTGCTGCAGAAATCGTTCTCATTCACCCCGTCAGATGAGCCTGGGCTTCACTCCATAAATCCGTCTCAAACTTTTAATCCATTTCAAAGATGATCCTGGGCCGGGCTCTGGAAAATTTTCCTTTCAATCTCTTCCGACAAGCCTGGGCCGTGCTCCAGAAATACATCTTAATCTATTCTATTTCTAAGGATGAGCCTGGGCCGTGCCCCAGAAATTATTCGTTTTTATCCTTTCGGATGAGTCTGGGCTGTTCTCCAAAAGTTCATATTTGTATTTCAACGATGAGCCTGGACCAAACGTTCATAAGTAGTTTGTTTGTTTTTTAATATGATTCCCTCTTATACTTTTAAAAAGAAATCGTGGCTATAAAACGACTTTAGGCTCAACTTTTTCGCAGGCCTTTGTCTTTTTAATGGTTATGGTTTTTACCTTTGTTTTACGAAAGGTTGAATCTGATGGCATCATCAAGTTCAAATTGCAATCTTTATGGAAAGATTTTATACGACATAGAAGATGAGTGCATGAATGAGACTGATTCTCCCTTTATTTTGCAGGTGGATGACTACTCACGCACCAACATACCCAGTATATGGGCAGTTGGTGATGTTACAGATCGATTGAATCTCACACCTGTAACATTAATGGAGGGAACCTGCTTTGCAGTTTGTAGTCTGTTTGGAGCTCCTATATTTCTCTGTATTAAATGTTATATGGTTATTTAATACTTGATGCGTTTAACAATCTTAAAGGCATTGCCTGTAGAAAAACTGTTTTTGGCGGACAACCCAGCAAGCCAGACTACAACAGTATACCCTGCGCTGTGTTTAGGTAATGTTTGTATGATTTGGAGCATGCCTTTGATTTTATTTGATTATTGATGATTTCCCAAAACAGGAGCAAAATATATATTGGTCAGTTCTAATGATCGCAAGAAATCCAAGTTATTCATTGTTCTTTATACTTGGTGGTAGCAATTTTTATCATAAGATTCTAAGGGCTATAATTACATGATGCCCCTCGGATTTAAAATGAAGTCCAACTGTAATTATGAACAGTTGCCCCACCTGATTTAGGCAACTGCTATTTGGGTTCTCTATGTTGAAACTAGATATCTAGCCTTACGTTTTTCCCCCATTTTTTTTTCCCCTTCTTAGAATGCAATTACCTGTTTGGAAAGTTTTCTTTTCCACTTTCATAAGCATCAGATGACTGAGTTGTGCTTTTGCAGCATACCACCACTTTCTGTTGTTGATCTTAGCGAAGAACAAACAATAGAGCAGGCAAATGGTGATATCCTGGTTTTCACATCATCCTTGAATCCAATGAAGAACACAGTATATGGGTATGTATTGGTGATTTGAGATTTTATTTTACCGACACTGTGTCTAGATCTTGAAATGTGAAGGGAAAAGAATAGAGAAATAAAATACTAGAAATGCCTAATTTTTCTCTCTTGTAACTTGTTAGAATTTTTATGCCAGTAAGATTTTGTATACATAAGAATATATTAATGAAGATAATAAACCAATGGGTTTCGTTTTTATTTTGGACTCCAAACCAATAGCTAGCACAACATTTTAATCTAAAGAAATGTTCCATTAGTTCTTTATTTTCCTTGAGATTTCCAAAACACAAACACAGTGTAGATAATTTTATAATGTCATGAATAACTTAATTAGGAAAATCACACATCAAGTAATTGATGGGGAAATTATAAATTTATAAATAAATAAAAGGTTTATCTTAAAGTATAGGATAATAAGTAATAATTATATAATAATAATTTTTTATTTTACA